GTTAGATTTTGCACAGAGAATATCTTCTATCTCGATAGGAGCCATCTATTTAGATGCATGGTGCAGTGAATACGAGGCTAAAGCAAATCTTATAGTTGATTCTTAATGAGTAGAATGATTATCAGTTCGTGTAACAGCATGTGCTAATCTTGAACTTTCCTAATCAAGATTGAATATAGACAGAAAATAAAGCCCGATTGGATAGATAAGAAAAGTGAAATGAGGCTGAGAGCCTGAATTAGTAGTTCATACAAGTGCACATAAACCTAGGATAGATGATAAGTTCGGCTTATGCAAAAAAGGTTGGGTTTCGAGCAATCTCTTGGATCATAGTTGTTGAGCTTGCTTCCATTTCAAGTGAAAATGTTTCGTGAAGAGATTCGAACGTCGATCGCACTAGAAGACGACGGTGATTCAGCTTGACCAGCTGTTGATTGACTTTACTGGAGCATTCGAATTGACGCAGCTTCTGTGCAATCTCCTTCAATTCCGGTAAAAACGTATCTTACTTTTGTCTGCCGTATGACGGACATCATTAAAGCAGTATATCATCCTTACAACCATATCGAAGCTAACGAGTCAAGAAAACTCAATAGTTCAGCTTAGTTAGTAGACCAGCCGAAGAAGGTATACCGTCTAACTCGTGGGGGTTAGGACTTGCATAATAAGCCTGCAAAGAGTGAAAACAAATCACTTGACAAATATAGCAGATAGGTACATATAGACTACTTTCACTGAATGGGATGAGGTCAAACCCAGTAAAGATTTTGGTTCAGCCTAAGGACCACGTTTGGGGCGGGATTACCGAAATTTAAAAAGAACAGCACAGAAAACGATCCGACGACAAAGATGAATCTTCTGCGATAGGACTAATTTCTTTTAATCAATAAATTAATAAAGCTTTTTATCACATTTGATGTTATATGTAAATGGGACATATAATGGAATGTTTTATTACAATATCTGCATATAAACAAGAAAGATTTCGTCTACTTAAATCCACAATAAAAATAACAAGCAACTATTTATTATGTTTTGTAATATCGATTTCTTCACGATAATTTATAAAAATATGATGAAGGTTTAGCTTTTTAAACAAAATTAATCACGAAGTGATGCAAACAAAATAGAAGAGAAGATATTGCGAAAGTTGACTAAGGTTGAGTCTCATGCGCTCTGCTTTATACAGCTGCTTGGATATGCTAAAAATAAGTCAGAGCTATTGTGCAAATGACAGATATCCAAGACGTATCGTTTCATGTAAAGGGCCCTCATGGAGCAACAAATATGTAGAGGAGGCTGGCATAGGAAAAAGAGCCCAGGTGGAAATAAAGTTATAATTGTACAGAACTGGAGGGCCTACTCATACATAAGGAAAGTGAAATGAAAAATAATAAGAGATCTGTACATAAATAACGGAAAAACGAAATTATCTACTTACTGATAAGATGTGGTGAACAGACTTCAAGCAATGCATCCTCAGCTGTGGCCGCAACTGATGTAGGTTCGGTTTGTCGCCATCGAGTATCAGAGAGAGGAGAACAACTTCGCGTAGATGTAACAGATCGTTTGAGGTGCTTTGGCGAAGGAGGCGGAGAGCCATGTGGCCTGGGAAAGGAAGACTGTGCGGTTGAGAAGGGAGGAATTAGGTTAACTGAGGAGCCAGAGCCCGTGACCTGTCTGGCCTGTCCAATTTTAGAACTATCAGAACTGGGTCGCTTGGAGGAGTTTTGCGGGATCGCGTTACAAAATCTTCTGTCATTGCCACCTCTTGCAATGCCAGCAACACGTAAGCCAGGAACTGTAGGCAATGCGACAGCAAGCAAACGACGGAGAGGACCGATGAAGCGTGAACGACGCAGTGAAGTCGTCGACGAAATAGTATGGGTCAGGCTCCCAAGGTAGCAAGAACGCCGGTCGGCCCCACTAATTTTAGAGTAAGTGTGCGTTCGAGCACGTTGAAAAGCCCGAGAGGCCCAACGCAGCTGCATGTCGCCATCTGGAAAAAAATAGTTAAGGATAGTAGATAAAAGTATATACGTATTATATTATATTATATATGGCAGACGACTTCGGACTAGGTGCGTTCTACATAGTATCCCTGAAAACAAGACCAAGTTGCGACAACGAGGTTAACCCACTTCTATCAATCGAAAGGAGACTGCGACCACACCAGAGGCCACAACATCTTGGTCTTCATATATTCAAACATATTTTTGTTATAACAATCGACTACATTACTTATTTTTCATATATAAATAGAGTTTCGAGACTACCAATAAATCAGTT